GGCATCGTTTTTAATAATAAAATTAAATAAAAATTTTATTGGCTCTTTTAATAATCAGTTGAATTAATTATTGGCTCAAAATACTTTTGTTGTTGTTTTTTTTATAGTTTGATAAAAAACAAAAACAAAAAATAAACTTTTGAATATATGAGAGCAATGACCTAAATAATTGCGTAAACAAAAAAAATCCATTTCAAAGCATGCATGTGGGTTTTTATATTAGGAAATTGAGAAAATAATTATAATGTATTACCATAGTTTTATTTGTTATATTATTATTATTATTAATTATTTTTACATTTTAAATATTGTCTTTATTATCTTTGCGAACAAAGCATCATGATCTTGAAAGGCTTGTTTTGCAAAAAAAAAAAAAAAAAAAAAACTTATACATATATCTAACATGGTAGATGTTAATTAAAAAGGCAGCAGTAAACCGAATTAAATATTTTTTTATCCAGCAGTTTTTTTTTTATAACAATATATATATATATATATTTTTTAATCAGCTCACTACGTTTTGTAAACTTTCCCCTTTTTCCCCTTAAAAAAAAAAAAAAAAACAATTTAAAAATAAAAATAATAAAATAACAACAACAAACGCCCTCGCGCCATTTTCCGCGTGTTTCTTTTATTCCCATTCATTTCTCTATTTAAAAAAAAAAAAAAAAATTATTTTTCTGCAGCTAAACTGCTACTTCGAATGTATAGTGCAGGTGTGGGCATGTAAAGGTGAATGTAGAAAAAATGGCACTTGCAACCGAAGGAAAACTTTTTTTTTTTATTATTTAAAACCGAAAATTGAACCTTGGATCAATCGGTGATGCTGATTTGTGCAAATCCAATAAGCGCTTTATCATCTGCAACTTCGTTGGTTCCACAACCAGAATTCTTTAAAAAAAAAATTTTTTTAATTAAAGATTATTTAAATTTGTGGTTGTTGTTTCCCCCCCCCCCCAATTGATTGTTCGCTCACTCACCAAAGGAAACGTGACGGCTCGTAGTAGTCCTTGACTGTCTATAAGCTTTTGAAGATTAGCAGCTATTGCAATTATGTCTTTACCATCTACAAGACCAGCTTGCATTAGTTCCGTTGCAATACCTTCGGCCGAATCTTTACCGATTCCAAATTCAAATCGTATATCATTTAATTCTTTTTTAGGATTTCTAAAACAACAAACAAACGAACAAATTATAATAAGGGAGAAATGTTTTCCTCTTTGGTTGTTGTTTGTAGACTATAAGGTACCTCATGCGAAGAACTAAATTAATTGGTGCCGCATTTTGAGTCGAACCTTCGGCTTCTACCTCATCTTCGCTCCCACTCGATGCGGCTGCTATCGAATTCATTGGTTTCTCGGTTACTTCATCATCCGACGATTTATCCTCTTCTTCCGAACTCCAAACCCATTCACCGGTCACGGTTCGATGCAAACGTCCGCTTGCTCCCGATTGACGTTTGCTCGCTTTTTGAACTCTTGCTTCGACGCTGGGCCCAATGGCGACCAACGTTTGTTGCAAATATTTTTTATCTTTTGCTTTTCTAAAAAACGGATGTTTCAATAGTTCCGATGCCGGTGGCCTGAAATCATTTCAAAATCGTTCGAATATATAATTAAAAAAAATATGAATTTAAAAAAAAAAAATAATAATTTCGCTTCGCCAAAAACGAATAGATAATAATAATAATAATAATAATAATTGTAAATATTAAAAAAACCTTGTTAGATAATTAAGGAAACAGTGTGTGATTATAAGCGAAAAAAGGCGTATTCAAACAATTGAAGCCGGTGCGATACCTCTTTGATGGATCTTTTTGTAAACAATCCACCACCATTTTCCTAAATGTTTTCCCGTAAGCTTTGTATTGATCTTTTTCTTCTGCACCGGTGTCCAATGTCGGAGGCTCGTTTTGAAGTGTTAACATTAATACTTTCATTGGAGGATACTTGTGATAGGGAGCCGTGCCGGTCGCCATTTCTATTGCGGTTATACCAAATGACCAAATATCCGCTTTGAAATCGTACCCGTGATCCTAAAAAAAAATTATAATATTTAAATACTAGTTAAAAAATTTTTTTTTCAAATTCAAATTTTTTTTCATTCAAAATCGAAAGTTTTTTTTTTTTTTTTCGTGACGCAAACACGAAGTTTTACTGCGGCAACTTTCACCGCCATTATACACGATTAAAATATTTATTTATTAATTTTAATTTTGTTCGAAATGTAGCAATATGCAAAATAAAAAAAAATTACCTGTTCCATAACTTCTGGAGCCATCCAACAAGGAGTTCCTACAAATGTATGTCTAACTTTTTGTCTAGAAAGATCTCTTCCAGTAGCTAACCAGGCACTAACTCCAAAATCAGCAATTTGAACGCTTCCATCTTCTCCCAATAAAATATTACCAGCTTTTATGTCTCTAAATAATAAAAAAAAAAAAAAAACAAATTTAAGATATATTAAATATAATTAATTTGGTAGACGAAACCATTTTTGTTTCGAGAAAAAAAAAAAAAAAAAAAATAATAAGTACCTGTGAATCTGACCATTACAATGAAAATATTCTAAACCTTTCAAAACTTCTTTCAATACTGTAGCTATTGTACTTTCATCGAAAACTCCATGTTTACAATTAGAAACTCTCATTTTGTGTTTAATGACATCTAACAAAGAACCACCTTCTAATAATTTTAAAACGAGCCAAAGTTCTTCACGAACGACAAACGAAGTGTAATAAGTTACTACATTTTCATGATTACAACTTGACATGGCTTGAATTTCTTTCTGAAAATTAAATAAAAATAAATATTCGAGTGGTTGGTAAGTTAAAAAATAATAATAATAATAACTCACCAATAATTCATCCATGCTCGTGTTCCATTTTTCCAAATTGATTCTTTTGATTGCACATTTTTCCTGCCTCGGTTTGCATATTGCTGCATGAACGACAGCTGTGGCACCGACACCTAGCAAAAAAAAAAAAAAAAAAACTATACTAATTATAAATATTTCACATTTAACACCATGCTTTTATAATTGAGATAATCTAATTGAGTGATTCATGAGGCACAGGTAGTACAAAAATCATTTAAATGATGTAAATCAATTGTAAAATTTACACACAATGACAGTATAATTAAATGGCCATAAAGTTTTTTTTTTTACAATTTCAAGTAAACAAATCATTAATAAAAATATTTTAACCGGTTCAAACGAAATAATAAAATAAATAAATATTATTATAAATAAGGTGTTATAAAAAAAATTCAAATTTCAATCTATATTTCTACCGTGTTAAATATGTTAGTCATTTGTAATAAGAATAGTAAAAAAAAAAAAAAAAAAAAATTCTGTACATTTTATTTTCTTAACACACACACACACAAGGTTATAGTGATCTTATCGACGTGTTGGTATTTAAAATGTCAAAAAAAATAACATGACAAAATGTAAATAATTATAAATTATATTAAAAATAAACTTATTTAAATTTTTACATTTATGTCGTTAGTCTAACTTACCAATTACTTCTTTTAATTCGTAGTCATCTTTAGAATTCGGCCAAGGTTGAACATTTCCGCTACCAGCGGTAGCCATTTTATCTGACAATATGGACGTCGTTTCACTCGGTGTAGACTCGGAATTAAATGAGATTTTTCTAAAAAGTCCTTGAGTTCCCGCAGGAAAAACAGCCGGTGATAATTTACTTTTTAAAATGAAAAAAATAAAATGAAAAATTTTTTTACTATTTTTAATTTAATATTTATTCATTTTAATACGATTTTATTAAAATCACGTGTTGTTAACAAAAAGTTTTTCATTTGACTCGATTTCCGGTAGTTCGGAAAGACAGAAAATTTTTTATTATTTCATATTTCAAAAACGAATCTCACTAATATGAAATCTCGTCGTGAATAAAATTTAAACTTAATTATGTTTACCTAAATTAAAATTACGTAATTATTCGTGGGAGTGTTTTAAATTTAAATAAAATGTAAAATACTTTTAAAAATATTAAAATTAATTCAATTCGATGAATTTTTTTTTTTTTTAAACATTTGGCCATAAACTACTGCACACCTAAAAAAATTTTATGCTCAAGTTAAAAAAAAATGAAACAATACAAAATGATAAAACCCAAATTATTTGTTATAAAAATCTTTAAATGTAAAAAAAAAATCCCTTTTATCGCCATTTATTGTTATATGAAGCGTTTATTGTTAATGTATTAGTTGTGATTTTTTGTTTTTTCCTTTTATTTCTCCCCCCCCCCTCCGCTTCGTGCTAGAAAGAATCAAGAAAGTTTTGTGTTAAAATTTATTATAAAAAGCAAACATTTTACACCCCAAAAAATGATTATTATTATTATTATTATTAAAAAAAATACTCACCGTTGTTTTCCCAAATTTAATATAGGGAAATATTTTGTATTGCCATAAAATTCAATTGAATTATCGGATGACATCATGTTGACAGCTCCTGTTCTCCTCCTCCTTTCTTGTTGACAACTAGAAAAAAATCAAGGGACGGAAGCAGACATTGAAGAAGATGGATAATACCTGAACCACTGCCACTCACAAATGCCAAAACACAAGAGGAAAAAAAAAAAGAAATAAAAGCCCTTAATATGCAAAATTTTTTTTTCTTTCTGGATTTTTCCATCACCTTTTTTTCCAATTAAAATAATTCCCAATACTTTAAACCCCCCATTTTGTTTTATTTTTAGTTAAAACTTTTATTCCAATTAATGATAATGATAATGATAATAAGGAAATATAAAAACTTACCGCATTGTTTTTTTAACTATATCGGATTTGGCATTTGACATTGTGGCCATTATTATTATTAAGATGAAATCTTTTTTTTTTTTTTTAAATGAAATCAAAAACGTTTAAATATTTCAACAAATGCCACATAATATAAAATTTATTAAGGAGTCGCCTAAAAAAAAAAAAAAAATCAAAATTAAAATAAAATTTTTTTTTTTATATACGATTCGACGGGGATTTTTTTTTTATTTTTGACCACGACGACGAATATAATTTCCTTTTGTCTTATTTTTTTTTATTTTTAAAATAAACGAATTAAATAAAATATTATATTTATTAATCGTGTTATTATTTATATATATATGCGTGTGTTATAAAATTAGCCAAATAAATGTCGGTTTATATTATTTTTTAGAGTAAAAATTTAATTTAAAAAAACTTACGAATTTCGAAAAAATGGCTAAATTTTAATTACAATTTATTTTTAAATTATTATTTATTTTAATTTTAAAAAAAACTTATTTAAATTTAAAATTGAAAAAACACAAAACAAAATGGACACAACTTATCACGAGACCACACAATATTAAACTGATCGTTAAAAAAAAATTTTAATTAAATGAAATGAAATTTTTATTACTCTTTCAAGAAATTTTTTTTTTTTTACATTTGATTCGATAAATTTATATAAATATAATTACGCGTAAAAAGATAAATTTTATCTAATTAATAATAATATATTTAACGAAAAATCAAATTATAACGAATTACACAAATTTAAAACAAAAAAAAAAAAAAAAAAAACGTTTTTGTTAATTGCAAATCATTACAATTTAATAAAATATATAAAAATTTTGACGACAAATATTTTACTCAAGGGTGTGACGAATGTGCGACAAAAATCTCAGGGGTAAATAAACAAAAATAAAAATGGCGGCAACCTAAATAATTATTATTTACCTTTTTGTAATATTATCGTTTGTTTTTTTTTTTTTTTTGAAGTTTTTAAATAAAATTAAATGAGTAAATAAATAAATAATATATTTAAATATATTTTTTCGTTAATGATTGTATTAAAATTCGTATATTTTATTATTTTTTTTGTCAAAAAAAAAATTTTTTCCTGACGTCATTATTACGTCATTGCTTACGTCAGTCACGTCCAGTTTAATTTATATTATAATAAATTTTACTAAAAATTTCACTTTGTTTAAAATATATATTTTTTTACGTCACAAACTCTCGATTTCATTTTGTTTTTTTTTTTTTATAAATACGTACTCTGGCATTTCTATTCTTTAAAAATAATTAAAATATTTTAACGTAAATTTATATATAAAACGTTAGAATCGATAAGACTTTCACACACACACAAACTACAAAATGTCTTCTTCTTCTTCTTGACTTTGGTACGAACTCTAATATTTTTCAATTTAAAATCATTTATTATTATTATTATTATTACAATTATCATCATCATCTCGATGAAGATGACCTTAGAATCAGACTATTATAACTCACACGACGATGACGACACAAAAAACAAACTTTAAACAATATAAAAATCGTTATTAAAACGATAAATGACGTATCGTAACGGAATTTTCATAATTAATAATAATAATAATGAGATCGATTAAATGACATCAAATCATTATTATTATTATTTCCTGTTTTGTTTAGGGTGGCAACGTACGGTAGATTTTATAAAATTTAAAAACAAAAGCTTTAATGTCAGGTATGTTGTCAAGTAGGTTCGCTGACTTCTTGTTTGTTTGTTTGTTTGACAATCTGGCACCATTTAAAAACCTTGCAATGAAAAATGGTTGTTACGTAACACAACACAAGAAACGACAGCGACGATGGAACAACAACAGCAACAGGAACAACATAAACAAAACACGATCTGATATTAAACCAACAATGTGTGAGAGAGAGAGAGAGAGAGAGAGAGAGAAAATCTAACACAAAATGACTGTTAAATCTAATATTAAATTGTTTTAAAAAAAAAAAAAAATCTTTTTTCGTCCGACATTTTTAAATTTAAGAGAGAGAGAGAGAGAGAGAGAGAGAGAGAGAGAGATGTAGGTCTCGTAATTGTCAATTAACTAATAGTTATTTTTTTCGTTGGTTTAAATTTTTTTTTTTTCTGTCTTTGTCTTTTTCGACTGCTTTGTATTTTTTTTTTTATTAATCAAATCCGACATTTTTTATTTTTTTTTTTTATTTTTCATTGATGATCCATCACGCAAACAACAACAAAAACAAAAACGTCAGAATAAAAATAAAAAATATTATTATTATTATTATTATTAGTTTTCCTCTTTGTTTCCGACGGTGTTTATTATTATTATTATTATTATTATTATTATTATTATTATTATTACTGTTGGTAAAAAAAAAACATTTTCGAATGATAAATTCGTTTAAAACAATTTTCAAAATCTGTCATAAACAAAAAAAAACGTTAACAGGTGACTATAAAAACGTGAGCGCACACACACAAATATATATTGTCGTGTCAATAATAATAATAATGTTTTGGGGAGGGGAGGGGAGGTTATTTTCACTTATTTTGTGGGAGTTAACATGCCTTTAACAAATAATAATATTTTTTTTTTTTTTTTGTGCCTTCGTGTTTTATAAAAACAAAATTTAAATTTTTCTTTTTCTCTCCCACCTCTTTATGTTTCATAAAAAAGGCGGGGGGAGGGAATTGGGGGAGGAGGGAGGAGGAAGGGGAGGAGCCCCTCGTTTAATTATCAATTGATTATATAAAATATGTATTAATGGGTTCCATTTAGCACCCGGCACGAAAAGTTCTTTGCCCTCAAAAAAAAAAAAAATTTTTTTTACCTTTTTTTTTTTTTTTTTTAAAAAAAAAAAATTAATTGTTCAGTTCGTGTTGAACATAATAGAAAGGATTAATTTCAGTTTTTCTTTTTTTTTTTTTTTTTATCGTTTCCCTTTTTTACGTTTCCGGAAAAAATATAAAGAAAATTTTTTTTTTCTTTTTTTTTTATTAATTTTTGTGGGAAATATTTTGACGAAACTTTTTTTGTTTTTTTTTATTTAAATGAAAGATTTCGTTGGGTAAGTTTGATTATAAATTTTTTATTTTTTTGTCGTTGTAATGAAAAACGAAACTTACAACTACTGCAACAACAACTAATTCTACTATAAAAACGACAACAACAACAACAACGACGACGACATTTACTAATAAAACATCAACAAAAACTTCTACTACAAAAAAGATAACAGCAACATCTAATCCAATAAAAACAATAACAACAACAACAACATCTCCTCCTACAAAAATAATAATATCAACAACAACAACCTCTACTATTACAAAAACAACAACAACAACATCTACTCCTACAAAAACAACAACAACAACATCTACTGCTACAAAAAAGACAACAACAAGAACTACTACGTTTTCTATTACAACAACAACGACTACTTTTTCTATTACAACAACAAATACAACAATTTCAACATTTACTACTACAAAAACAGCAGCAACAACAACATCTCCTCCTACAAAAACAATAATAACAACAACAACAACAAGGACTACTACTCTTTCTACTACAACAACATCAACATTTACTATTATAAAAACAACAACTACTTTTACTACTGCGAAAACAACAACAACTAGTACTTCTACAACTATAAAAACAACAACAACTACTTTTACTACAACAACAACAATCAAAACCACAACATTTTACAACAATTCCATTAGTAAATACATATATTTATGTGTGTGTGTGTGTGTGTGCGTGTGTGGGTAAATGAGTGAAATTAAATAAAAATATTTTTATTTTAACAAAAGGTCAAAATTAAAATTTCACGTGACCTTTTATTCAGTTAGTCAATCTTTCTCTCTTTTTGAAAACAACTAACAAAAAAATAAAAAAATTATGTCAAAAGTCAAAATCATAATTAAAAATAATAATAATAATAATAATAATAATAATAATAATAATAATAATAATAATAATAATAATAATAATAATAATAATAATAATAATAATAATAATAATAATAATAATAATAATAATGATAATAATAATAATTTTAATTTCGTTATATGAGAGAAAATTATTATTTTGTTTTCTAGTTTCACTTTTGTTATATAATTATCAACGAAATTTTAATAGTTTCCTGGTAACAAAATATTATCATTATTATCATTATCATTATTATTATTATTAATATTATCATCACGGATTGAATGCGTTTATTTTAAAATTATTAAAAAAAAAAAAAAAAAAAAAAAGAAAATTTCATTTATATTTTCTTTCCTTTTTTTTTTTTTTGACAATATTTTTAAAAAATTCACAAATCGAGAGATGATTTGTAGTTGTGTGCGTGTGCGTGTGCGTGTGCACGTGTTTTACGCGTGTTTTAAAAAAATAATTAAAAACAAATTTAAAACGAAAAAAAAAAAAAAAAAAAAAAACAAAAAGTCATGACCGTGAAATTATTCGCGACATGAACATTTATTTTTTTTTTTTTTGCAAATTTTAATCACAAAAAAAAAAAAAAAGGAGAACTAAATAATAAAAAAAATTAGGTTAAGGACTTTAAAACAAACAAACAAACAAACAAAACAAAAACAAAAAACAATAAGCAAACAAACGCAAATTATTTCAACGTATGAAATCGAATCGAACGATCTATCGATCTATCGATTGCAATCGAATAATTTTTTTTTAAAAAATTCACCCACTGATAACTTCAAAAAGGGGGTAGTATCGATAAGTAACCACCCTCATCATCATCATCATCATCATTATTATTATTATCATTATTATTATTATTATTATTATCATTATTATTATTATTAATAAAAATTTAATTTTCGTGGGTGTAATATACCAAAAAAAATCCTTTCGATTCTCACTTCTTTTTTTTTTTTTAAATCATCCATTTGATAAATTACATTTAAACATGAAAAAGAAAATTCTTTTCTCTCTCTCTCTCTCTCTCTTTCTTTCTCTCTCTTTAGTTATCGTAATATATAGAAAATACGTTCGTTTGTTCGTTCGTGACGTTGTTGAAAAATTTAATGTCAAACGTTTGTTAGTACGTACCGAAAAACTTTTGCAAAAAAAAAAAAAAAAAAAATGGAAAAGTTTTTTCCTTTTCTATTTTTTTTCTAGAATGCCGCAACGATAATTTTCTTTGCCTTTTTTTATACGATGATAATAATGATGATAAGAATTAAATTTTGAATTAAAATGGTGACATGCGAGTTCAAGTTTGGAAAATTTTTTTTTTAAAAAAAGAATAACGTGGGTAGAAGGAACAGTCGAATATTCGAGAAATTGTAAGTAAGTCAAAAATTATTTTTCGAACGGGTAACTTTATAATAATAATAATAATAATAACGAATTCGTTGTTTTTAATTTAAGACGTGTAAAAAAATGACAAAAAAAAAAACGTTAAAACCGTTGGAATCTCCGCGTTCGCCATCTTCTCAATCATCATCATCATCATCATCATCATCAATTGATAATAACAAATGTTTGACGATAAAAAAAATTAACGGTTTTTACGAAATCGATAATTTCGACGAATCTCAACACGTCAACGGATGTCCGTTAAAATGGTTTTATAAAAAAAAACTATTGGAAAAAAATAAAATTTATAAAATTCAACGTATTTGTTCGAAAGAAAAAACGAGAACGATGGCGTCGAACGTGTCAACGAGTGGTAAAAAAAAAAAAAAAATTTACAAAGATAAAACTCCGATAGATGTTAAAATCCGTAAGTTTTTCTTTTTCCACTTTGAAATTTTACATCAAAACAATTTTCCCCGAAAATTATTTACGTTTTCCTTTTCAGATAAAATTAATTTGATTGAAAAATATGGTAAAAACGTGGATGGTTCCACGACGACGACGAATCTACCGCATATAATGCCACGTTCGAACTCTGATCCCACGTCGGAAAAAGAGAAATTAAAAAAACATAAAAAAAAATTAGCGTTTAAATTAAATAAGAAAATCGAACGAGATTTTTACGACAAAACCGATGATGAAGATGGCGCTGGCGGCGGCCATGATGGCGACGGCAGCCATGATGGCGGCGACGGCCATGATGGCGGCGACGACGGTTGGACCGACGTCGATGATTTCAACACGAAAAATCTCGATTCGTGCGATAAAATGTTAGTAAAAATTAATTCGTTATACATTTACTGGAAATTATTATTATTATTTCCACGTTTCGAATGAGAGAATTTCGATTTGAATTTATCATTTCAGGAAAAATTATTTGTTTCCGCGTCCTTTGGTCGGTTTGAAACCATTGTTAACGATTCTTCTTCTTCCTCATCAGGAAATGGGATGCTGTAAAACGGAAATAAGATTCGAATCAAAATCAGATATCAAAGGTAATTTAATTACGCATAATTTACGTCATCACTTAACTTTTATTAATAATTTTTACTTTTTTTTTTCTCTCTCTCTCGAGAAGAAAACATGAAATCGAAAACGTTGAGCGTTAAATCATTAGATTTTCCAGAATCCCAATTTATTAATAATAATAATAATAATGATAAATTAATTAAGAAATCATCTTATTTGAAAAAATCAACGACGAAATCCATTTTCGAACAAAATAAAAAATATCAAATACCAAATCCTGTAACGATAAATCTTCGTAATTTATCGAATTTAAAACCCGTCGATAAAATCAATTTACAACAAATAAAAAATTTAAAATATAAAAAAAGAATCGATAAATCGAACGATATTAAAAAATACGATCGATCACTATCGGCTTTGGTATACAAATTACAAAATAAAACAAATTATAGAAATTTTAGCGAATTTGAAACGTTTGATGATTTTCTTAAAAATATTACCGTCGAAGATGCCGAATGTAAAATTCGACGATTTTTTCATTATAATAAATCCGATGATAAATCTCCAATTATTACGTCATCCTCATCCTCGTCGTCGCCATCTTGGAAAAATAAAATTAATAATAATAATAATAATAATAATAAATTTATTAAACGTTGTTGTATTGATTCTTACGGTGATGGTAAATCTTCATCCACCGCCAACAAATCTGACGTCATTAACGAATCTTCTTTGACCTGTGACAAAATTAAAATATTTAATAAATTTAATAAATAATTTAAAATTAAATTTATTGCTGATTTTATTTAAATATTGTAAATTTATTTATTAATTTTTGTTTCTTTTAAATAAAAATCTCAATTTTAATTTCATCAATTTTTTGTTTTAACAATTCACAATATCATTCACGAAATTATAATTATTTAATTTAATAACAATAAATATATATATATAATAATAATACTAATTAATAATAATTATTTATATATATATATATTTTACATTAAAAAATTTTTTTTTTTTTTATAAAACTTTTAATAAGTAATATTTTAATAAAAAAAAAAAAGAAAAATACGCTAAAAAACCAAAATTTTCGATCTGTCCGCGTATGTAATATCATCGTCTAACGTTAAAAGGACCATAAATGAAAAAAACATGGATGCGGCACTGATAAAATGCCATATATCGTGATTATCGTAAAAATTTAACAATTGGCAAGGTTGATTGTAAAGCCTCGATTCCGCCGGAGTCAACCTCCACGATGTCGTTTTGCTAAAAAAGAAATAAAGTGCAAAAGTCCATCCCAAAACTGATACCAAAATGTAAAAAATGGATTGTGGCAAAAGACGTTCCTTGCAAATGAACTGGAAAGTAAAACCAAAAATCAAATTTAAAAAAAATGTCGACAGACAAATCCTCAACTTAGTCTTCATCTTCATCTCACCTTCATTATTATGTAAAAAAGCGTGTAAAGCATTAAATTAACCATAAATATGGACAATAGGTATGATGAAAAATTTTCAATTTTGTAAAAAAATCGTCCTATTGCGAGACCCCAATTGCAACCGTTGGCAACAATCAACAACAGGCACCTGCTCGGAAACAAAGGTTTGAAATAACCCCAGTGACAGTAAAAACAAAGTCGAAGCTCTTTGAAAAATTGACAAAACGAAATGTTTCCTGTTGGGGGGGTAAAAACAAAAAACATGTGAGAAAACAACAACCAAGTCCCCCCAAAAAAAAAAATGAAAAAGAAAAACCACAGTACCCAATTTCCATCTTCCCATATAATATATTTGCAACGATATATAGGCACAAATGGATAAATGCAAAATGGTGAATAATATCCAAAATGTCGGAGTGTTGTTGAAAACTCCACACATTCCAATGAATATAACTCCGGCGAGTGAAAAAAATGTCGAATAAGCCGTTGCGTTTATATCCGGATGTCTCGTTTGATAGATTTTTATCATGCATAGAGTCGATATGACATACATGAAACTGGAATCTGCCATTACGAATGAATACAATCATAAAAAAGTTTCAAATTAAACTTAAAATTCCAATATGGCGGATTTCATACCGAATTGAAAATTATAATGATTTGGACATATGTGATAGCAAGCACTCAATATTCCTTCAATTATCAATGCGGCACCCATCGCATAAAACAATCCAAAATGTTGCGGAATACCGTAAAACTGAAACAAAAACAAAATGAATCATTCCTGAAAACAAAATGGTGGGAAAAAAAAAAAAAAAAAAAAAAAAAACATTTAAAGTTTTCTCTCACCCTGTATAATTTTTTATTACTAAATATTTTTATCTTGTACAGTCTTTCTTTCATGGCCGTTATAAATATGAAAAGGCTTCCGAAAAGTAAATAACCGATATTGCTAAAAACGTGATTGAAATCCGAAAAAAATAAAAATGGATGAGCGCATAAAAAATTATAATAACACAAATCTTCTTCTCCCGTTTCGTTAACTTGCTGAAATTTATACAAAACCATTACAACTACCAACATAAGAAAAAAAAAAAAAAAAAAAAAAAATCAATCTTTAAAAAGTCTTACGTATTGATTGGTTATGACCAATTGTAAAACGGGTAAAAAATAAAAAATTGCAACCGTTAACAAATTCCACAAATACATTTCTGATTTTTTTTTTAAAACCGATTGATTTTTCCTAGCCAAATCGCACAGGTACATGTATCCCTTCAACCTGTAAATTTTTGACATTATTTTAACTTACAACAATTGAGAGAGAGAGAGAGAGAAAGAGAGAGAGATAGAAAAAAAATAAGAACTGGAATCACACTCACCTGAAAATATCTTTGTCGAATTCCACATCTGAAACGTTATCATAATCCGTTTCGTCCAGTGAAGAATCTGTTTTTATACTTAAAGTGTCTGTTCCCACTATAAACGGTCCTGGAGATGAAGGACCTGGAAAAATAAATTTAAAAATCATCGACTCATTAATCAATCATGAAACACTGTTTTCGTTCAGATTCCAAAACATGCAAAAAATATCGATTGGAAAAATACTTACTTAAAGCAGGAAGAACAGCATTTGATACCGAAGCAGACACTTCATTTTCAGATTCGATAAAACAATCATCTGGTATAAAATTTTTTTCTCTAAAAAATATATTTAAATATAAATTAATTATTTTAGTTTTATCAGTATTTCTACATATTGAAAAATAAACTCACTTATTGTAATTGTAATAAAAAACTGTAAACATCAAAGTACAAAAAAGTGAAAGAACTAATAATGTAAGTAAAACTGCAATTTTATAATCTGATGAAGAAATCGATTTTGAAAGTTGTACTGTAACACTTTTCGTTCTGTCATACTCATTCCCTAAAAACTTTGAAAAACAATAATTGTCTTCTCCGGTGACAATAAGAACTATATAAAAACCATTCGGAAAAGCATCTCTCTAAAAAAAATACAATTTTACAAAAAAATTATCTTCGAATAATATAAATAAATATTTAATGTAAAATATTGAATACACACTGTAAGAGTAAGACCTCCTTGTCTTGTTATGGTTTGAAAGTGACCCCTGTACTGAACATTTTCTTCCAAATCGAATATCGGACATGAAACATTTTGTATTGATACAATCATACAGGTATCATCATCGGAAGTAACGTGTAAAAGTATCGAGTTAACTTCTTCTGATTGAAACTCGTAAAGATAAAAATATGGAGTTGATGGTGTCACATTAACTGTTTTGCTTTCATTTAAACTAAAATTAAATAAAATATTTTCAGACTGAAAACTTTTATGACAAACAGTTGCAAAATTTAATAAATACTCACTCGATTAAGAAATCATACTGTAAATTTACAATAAGTTCAACTTGAAGTTTTTTTAAACTAAATGTTGATAATGTTAGCTTTACAGGAGCTATAGGAATGACTGAATTATTATTTTCCTGTAAAATAATGTGAAATGTAATAAATACATTAATTAAATAATACATATAGAAGATATTTAATAAAATTTTGTCTCTATTTATTTACTTACTGAATAATCGAAATTTAACAGGGAGCTATTAATTATATTGTAAGGGCACAAAGTTCTTTCAGTTTCTTTATATATAGAATAATGTTCTTTCGATTCTATGATGACAGGTAACTCCCATGATAAAACTCCTTTGTTTTGCATAACGACAACTAATAATGGATTTTCTCCATTACATTCATTGCATTTTAAAAATATTCTAGGAGGAACTTTATCTATATTCTATAATAAATGTAATATAAATACTTATTTAAACAATTTCATAAGTATAAAACCTAAACAAAATTTTTATTACCTGTGAAAGATTTTTAATTTCTATAATATATTCAACTGTATTGTCGATTGTGTAATTTTTTAAAACTCCAACTGGCAATTCTTTAACGACAACATTAAAATTATCGCAAATAATCATAGGTAAATTTGTTAAAATTATTGTGATAAAAATATAAAGTGATTTTTTCCATTTTTTCTTCATCTTTTTTTTTTTTAATATTATTTTTTTTTTTTATTTAAAATATCAAAACAAAATAAATAAAAACTTTTGTAAAATACATTAAATTTATTACATCCCTTTTTTAAAAAAAGGTTTTAATTTTTTAATTTAAATAAAATGACATTTGAAAACAAAAAAAAAAAAAAAAAATTTTAATTTAAACAAACATTTTATCATTCAAAGGTGTAACAACTGATTTTAACTAACTGACAACATTTTTATGTAAAACTAAATGTTTATTTACTCTATGAAATCGAATGAATCAAAATATTTATTTGCCGTCATAAATTACTCAATAGTTTTAGGTTATCGTATTATTATTATATTAATAATCATAATAAAATTTATTGAAATATTAAATTTATTTATTTTTTTTTAATGTACCCAAGTAATAAAATATAAATTTTTAAAAAAAGAATTAATTTAAATTTAAAAGCCTTTCATTTTTTTATCCATCATTGGAAAATGTTTTTGAAGTGGTTGCCAACATTTATAATAATGAGGATCGACTTTTTGGCATATTTTTTGCCCCCATTCTGTCACTGCCAAACTCAAACTACTCTCAAACATGAAAGCCTGGAAACAAATAACAATTTATTTCAAATTTCTCTTAAGTGAAAAAAAAGTCATAAAGTAAATAAATAATTTACTTGTGTTCCATCAGCAACACGAACGGGTTTTAATTCAGCTTTCGTTGCATCTTCAAAACATTTAAAATCAGGACCGTGTGGAGTCATCATAGAATGAAGAGAAGCACCTCCCGGTAGGAAACCCTCTTCTTTCGCTTCGTAATTTCCTTTTATGAGTCCCATAAACTCGCTCATACAATTTCCTAAAAATTATTAATGGAAAACCGTCAATTTTTTTTTTCCTCTACCCCTGGGATAAGTTTCACCCTTTGATCCCACAAAAGAGAAAACCATTAACTTACTGTGATAATAGGGTGGCCTAAAAGTGTGCTCTTGAACTGCCCATCTGGGTGGAAAAATTACAAAGTCAGCAATTGCTGTTCCAGGTTTAGATGATTGACATGTCAAAACCGTGAATATCGAAGGATCCTAAAAAAGAAAAATGACGAGTTCAGGTATGAACGTTTGAAATTGAATAAATTTACCGTAACTTACGCAGTGATCGAATTGCGTCGCGTTGATGACCATAAACTTATCCAGGTCGTATTTATAAGGTACGTAATTTCCATGCCATGCGACGACATCGAACGGACTGTGATTTTGTAAGGCTTTAAAAAAAGATCCCTGATATTTGGAAACGATTTCATATTTCACATCCAAATCTTCAAACCAAGCAACGGGAGTTAAAAAATCTCTAGGATTAGCCAAACCGTTGGCACCTTAACACAAAATAATAATAATAATTTTAAAACCCTTTTTTTTATTAAGCCCCCTCGTGATAATAAACAAAAGATCAACCTATTGGACCCAAATTGGGTAGTTTAAAATGATCGTCGTAAACTTCCAAAACGTATCCTCTACTAGGTCCAAAAACTTCAACCTTAAATTTCATTCCTTGCTGTACGACGAAAATTTCATTTGGATCAATCAAAACCTTTCCAAATTCCGTCGTGATTTTTAACGATCCTTGTTGCGGGACTAAAATTACAAAAAATTATTATTATTATTTATTATTATTTATTATAAATAATTAAAAAAAAAAAAGTTATTTCGTTGCTAACCGATTAAAAAATCACCGTCGGCGTTGTAAAAACATTTATTCGTCATCGATACGTTACATAAATACACGTGTATGGCTGTTCCGTGCCTGGTTTTAGGATCTCCAGCACCGCAAACGGTAAAAAGACCATCGACGAAATCCGTGACTCCTGTCGGCATATCAAAAGGTTTCCAACGAAGTTGATTCGGATTTGGATGAACATCGTCGAACCTTACGGTTGTGTTTGATTTAATCGGTGTAAAAGGTTCGTGTATAACCGATGGCCTTATCCTATAGAACCAAGTCCTTTTATTTTCTCCTCTCGGTGCTTTAAACAAAACAATAATAATAATAATAATGATAATAATAATGATCAAATCAAGTTTTTCATTAATTTTAATCATTATCATAAATAAGTTGTTTTTTATTTGTTGATCATTTCAAGTTTTTTTTTATTAACAAAAGGTCATCCTGAAAGACGTTGAGGTACTGAAAATACAGGTTTTGTCGATCGTTAAAGTCAAACGTTTGAAATGAGAAAAAAGTTTAATGAGAAACATTTTAGGCTTTGTCAAAGACAACAATTTTTAATTTTGTTATAAACAAATCCTTATGGACAACCAACAAACGATTTTGGTATGGCAATAATACATCTTTTGTAACAGTATAACGGTCATGAGGAGAACCTTAAACCTTTTTTTCATTGTTATTATGTAATCCATTAATTTGAAATTAAATTTAATTAAAAAACATTTGCTGAATTTGAAATTCTAAAAGTGTGTTATTTATGTAATTAGTATTAAAAAAAAAAAAAATAATTTAAAAGAAAAATGGTGGTTGCTTACCTGTAAAAGCAGTACCAGAAAGTTGTTCTGCATATAATCCATAAGGACAAACCTGAGGATTATTTTGTCCAATCGGTAAAGAATTTGGATACCTCGGATCTTCCGATTGAAATTCGTTACCGAAACCGGCCAAATACTAAAATAATAATAATAATAATTAAAACCGACAAAAAATTTTTTTATTTTTTTTTTTACCCTTAAAATTATTTTTTCACCCTTAAAATTGTTTTTACCTTAAGTGGTTCATCCATCGTCGTCGAGTTAAATAACACGAATAAACATGAGATAAATATTAAATAAGAAAATAGTTAACGGCCTTGGACTGTTTGTTCCCATCAGAAAGCCGGTTGTTGTTGTTGTTGTTGTTTGTTGTTGGCGACATCATCATTATCAGGACATTTTTTTTTTTTTTAAAACTCGTCTCCTTTTGATTGTGTGGTGTTCACGTGAGAAAAAGCGCATGCGCATATTTAAGATGCACTTCAAAAAAAAATCAAAATCATTTATTTATAATTATATAAATTTATTTCCAATAAGGTTAATTTTTATAAAAAATTATACGTTTGTAGTCGTGGGGGGAGGGGGAGGGGGAAGGATATAAAAGCGTTCAAAAGGAAATAAATAAATGAATTGTTTCGTCGTGGTAATAATAATAATAATAATAATAATGATGATGGGGAAGAGAAAAAAGGAAATTCGGCGCGTGTCTCAATCCGGTTCACGTCAACACAACCTTTTTGCCTTGTGTTAAATGTTAATTTTCATGCTGATATTACAAGGGCAATTGAAATTAAACAATGGTTTGCGGATAAAAAAGAAAAATCTTGTTACGTTCTCATCCTTTCAACAAAGGTTTGCCGAAATAAAAAAACGTTCAATAAATAATAAATACTTTTATTTAAAATTAAAAAGCAAGGATTATGTAAACTTACATCTCGTATCACCTCCATTTAATTTCCGTTATTTTTTTTGTTTTTTTTTTTCGAATTTAAAACATTAATAGTAAATAATAAGTAAATACCTCGTCGAATAACTAATCGAAATCGAATTTTCGAAAAGATATATATTGTTTTATCAACAACAAACATAACTTATTAAATAAAACAATCGTTAAAAAAAAAAAAAAATTATCAACTTTTCATTTTTATAATCGTCGCCATTTTGTGACGTCATAATATATAAGCGACGACGACAGCGCTGTCAGATGAGTGGAATCGTTACTGAGAATAATTTCAAATTTTCAAATTTTAAATTTTAAAATTAAACGTTAAAAAATCGTTACAAATAATAATACTAATAATAATATGTCGATCGTTATTTATTTATCAAATTCTTTAATTATAAAAGATTCCCACGTTGCCTCACAGAGATAAAAATAATAATTATTTTTTTTTTTATAAAGAAACGCATCATTATTTTTATAAAGAAACGCGCCATATTGTTTTTTTAAATATATACATACGGGAATTGAAAACTTTAGAATTTCACACATTTGGAGGAGTATTTTTTGTGTGTAATTTATATAATTTCGTACGGTGTAATTTTACAAGAAAAAAAAAAAAATATTAGCCCGGTCATAAGTCAGATTGTCATCGTGAAAAACATTTTGAAAATATATCCAACAAACAAAGAACCGTACGCGTGCCTCATAACAATTACTATACTTATATTGAAAAATTTGTTTTCCGCGTAACAAATTTCCCTAAGGCTAAATAAATAGGGGATGGGGGAAGGAGGAAGAGGGTAAAAACGTTAGCGTTAACAAGATACGTCTCAAGTAGCTGTAAATCGTGCAAACGACAGGAAACACCCCCACACGTGGTTATATAAAATACGTTTCGGAACCTCCCCTTTTTTTCCTTTTTTTTCTCTCTCTCTCTTTCTCTCCCTCTCTCTCTCTTTCTCTCCCTCTCAAATCTCATTCAGATTCGAACGGAAGTAAGAGTAAATTTTCCTTTTCCTTTTTTTTTTACTCACCGTCGGAAAACCCAACGTTTTTCTATTAAATATCTATCTACGCCATTTTGTTTTCGTAACGTTCACGTTAAATATTTTTCCTTTTTGAAAATTCATCAATTTTTTGTTTCCAACAGCCGAATGAATAATTCCCGTTAACAAATAAAATAAAATAAAAAAAAAATTAAACGGATTTAATTTTATAAAAATAGAAAAAAGAAATAAAAAGAAAAAAAAAAAAACAATTTTTCCCATTCGATTCGATCGAGGGTTTATCTGGTTAGAGTACACGTTCGAAACGTATGCAATGTCACGTGACTTGCATTGTAGTGTAACGTGGTTTTAGAATTTGTTTAACGGTCTACCCGCAAGCTTTTCTTTTCTTTCACTTCTTCAATGGTCTTTTTTTTTTTTTTTTTTTATTTTACTTTTGTTGTTTGTTTTATTTGCATAACTATTTAAATTCATTCGACAATAAACTAAAAATTTCCCAAACCATTTTTCTATCAACATCATCTTTTTATATTTATGAGTTTTATTTATTTATTATTATTATTATTTTTTTTTTCATTGTTCCAAAGTGAAAACCGTTAAATTTAAAATCAAATAAATGTTTTTGATAACAACACAAAACTCATTTTATTATTAATTTTTAACCGTTATTTTATTTATCGATCGATGTAAATTTTAGGTATTTACAGGTACGGAAAATTACTTATTGATAATAATAATAATACTAACGGAAAAAGTTATTTTTTTAATAAATAATTTATTAATTGTACGATTACGTGAATCTACATTTCAAAATGTTAATAACATACAACAACAACAACAAACACATTTATGTATAATAATTACACTTATTAAATTTACATCAAATAAATAAATAAGTTTAATAATTAATAAATAATAATAATAATAATAATAATAATAATAATACATATACGCATACATAAAATATATTTTATCTAAACTTGGAGGAAAAAAAACAAATATGGCGGCCGATTCGTGATTCGATTGCACGTATTTTTTTGTCTTCAGTTTTTATTTTATTTGGGGGGAGGGGGAAATTGCACGGAAATAATTAATTTTTTTGGAAAATTTATGTATTTATCGAATCCGCAGTTAGTGCCAAAGTTGTCAAAACGCTTCTTCTGCTTGGATTAACACCTAAATTTTCCCAATTAATCCAAGATAATCTCGCGGTTAAATCTAAAGAAAAAAAAAAAAGAAAAATGTTTAATCTACTGGAAAATTTTCCCTGTGATGATGATGATGATGATAATTACCGCTTGTGTTCCATTCGGCTCTTTCGGCTGCTTTTATTTCACCCCTAAGACATTTTTCAACGTATGTTAAAGGATCGTATTCGACGGTTAAAACCTCTCGTAGTAATGCTATGTAAGCAATGGCCAACCTGAGTGTGTCGATTTTCGATAATCTTTTCTCGTATGGAAATGTTGGTACGTGAATCCTCAGCTCATCGAAAGCCGAGTTGATACTGCTGGAAATTTCAGTTTAATCTTAGAAAATCGTTTTGGGAAAATGGACCCAAAAAAAAGAAAATTTTTTAATGAAAATTTTCCACACACCTAAGCATTCTTTTCCTTTCACGAATGTTGGCTGCGTGTCTTTGAACTCTATATGGGCTACCAGAAGGATAAAAACCATCATCCGATACTCCTATTTCACTCGATGGTTCGTCTAAGAAAACAAACAAACCTTTATATATGTAATTGACGTCATGCTGGTATACCTTATCAGGTACGATTCCTCTCACCTGGCAATCCTATATAATGAATGGATTGTTCGGATCTTAAATTTCTCGTTGCAAATGCACAAGACGGTAGTTCATCTTCGCTCACGTCACCCCCACCACCACCACCACCGTAGTTTGAATAATGACCTAATATCTTATGATGAGACCTTAAAATAATAATAATAATAATAATAATTGATTTCAAAATGTTTTTTTTTTTTCTAATTTAAAAACTAACCCGGGTGATAAATGAGATGAACTTGAAGAATCTGCTCTCGAACTTATAACTCTAGAACCACCATTAAATAAATCTGAAGAATTTGATGACGTATTCGTTCCTGCCATTATTATTATTATTATTATTAATAAATAAAAAATTTATTTTTTTAATAAATCGTCACATCGAACTTCGTAACACATTCACAAATAATTAATTAATTGATAAATAATAATGATGATGATGATTTCACCTGTATCGAATAGAAATTTGAAACTCGACTGAAATCCCTGGGGAATAATTTTTCAATTTTATACATATATATATATTTTTTTTAAGGGATGCTTGTTATTACGTACAACCCTTAAATAATATATATTTTATGAAAAAAGGGAGTTTCTACTTTATTTTCAATTGGAGTTTCATACTATAACTGAATATATACTATACAGGATATAATGATTTATCCTTTCGTGCGTAATTTATTTATTTATTTATTTATTATTATTATTAATTTAATAATAACTTACGAAAATTATTTATTTATTTATTTTTGAACATTTTAACGTCGGAAATCTTTTTCTTCGGGTTTTTCCCTTATGAATTACCGAATGGGAAAAATTTTTTACTCGTTCATAAATAAATACCATTGGGTATACGTATTTTAAATTAAAATGAACGGAATTATTATTTCGAACGTTAATTTTTTTAATAAGAGATTTGTGATGACGTGAAAAATCTCTCATTATTGCTGTTAATAATAATAATAATAATGTTATCACTAGTGATAAGAACGATTAATTCATTTAATTTAATATTACAAAAAAAAAATAATAATAATAATAATAAAAATATTCGAGAAAAAAAAGAAAAATTAATACGAACGAGAAAATGAAATTATAACTTATCAGGTTTTAAAATTAAACATATAAAAACCACCCCATTTTATTGTATGGCAATGAAATTTTTTGATTGGTCGAATCTGAAAATGATATTCATCGAATGAATTTGATTGGTTAATTGAAACGTTCATATTTTCCATAACGATTTTCTGTCATTTCCATGACTTTTACTTACGAAAGCTACGAGAAAAAAAAAATTTATTTTTTATTTTTTTTTGAAATTAACGGAAAATTTAACGTTTTTTTTTTTTTTTTTTTAAATGTTTAATTTCGATTTAACGTTTTTCTTTTCTGTATCGATGAAAATTAACTAACCGAAATAACGGTTTTAAAATCAATTTAAAATACTACGACAAATCGATACCCGTATGATAATTTTTTCATTATTATTATTACTATTATTATTATTATTATCTAAAAGTATCATCATTATATAAAATATTTTGCGGTTAATCATTTTAAAAAACATTCCAAAAAATAAATAAATAATTATTTCGCCATATTAACAATTTACAACAACGTTGCAACGGATATGTCATCCATTTTGATGACGTCATTTTAAAAAAAAATTTTTATTTTCCCTTATTTTCTCACGGTTAATCTCATCGACAACATAATAAACAAAGTAAATATTTAATAAATACGTAAAAACATAAAGAAAACATAATAAAATTAAAAGAGATGATATTAACAAAAGAGAAAAACAATCGACATGATGATGATAATAATAATAATAATAATAATAAATCGATTGTAAATGTTTGCGGTTATAAAAATCATCCCCATATAAAAAAATAGATAGAAAACAAAAAAACATGGAGTCACGTGTCTTATATGTTTGATTTAAAAAAAAAATTTTTTAAGGGTCCTATCGCAACGAAATATGTTTCTTTTCTTTTTTTTTTTTTAATGTATTTATTTGTCTCGAAACAATTTCAAGTGTAGAATGTTTGCTCATCGATAATAATAATAATAATTGTTTGTTCGATTTTGATTGATAAATAAAATTTTTTTTTTTTTTTTGAAATTTAAAAAAAAAAAAGACAAAAGAATCTTTTGTTCTCTTTCAATTACCCTTGTAACCGACCATGATAATTAAGAGGTTTGTATAACAACAACAACAAAAACGTAAATCTCTTTGACGTAGATGTCAACCTCACGTGTCATACTCTCCATCTTTTTTTTTTTTTTTTTTTTTTCTTTTCTATTATATATTCTTTTATCATTATTTTTTCTTTTTTTATCATCTCTCTCTTTCTCTTGGCTGTCATTAACACGATTCAATACGTTTGAGTCTTAACAATATTCTATAATTTTCTTTTTAATTGTACTTGTCTCTCTCTCTCTCTCTCTTGTCAAACCGGAAATAATAATAATAATAATAATAAAAGGTAAAGAAATTTAAACTTTTTATCATAATTAAAAATTTATTTTATCTTTTCCATATTGACTAGATTAATAATATAATTAATTAATTAATTAATTAATACTGATATTAATAAAATTAACAATAATTAATTAATGAATAAATCTAACTACCCTAAAAACCGTTTACACATTCGATTAATTAATTAACAAATAAATATTACATTAAATAAAACAATCAATCAATCACTGAATTGGAAAAAAAAAAAAGGTAAAATTCGAATGAACAATTCAATCTTTAGTGCAAATCTTTGGTTATGTTAAACGAATCAAAGTCAAAATTACACACACCCACACACACATCATTGTCATTAAACATATAAAATTAGTCTCATCTGAAATATCGAATAATTTTTTAAGGTTTTAATAATGCATCATCCCTGTCACCGCCATCAAAATTACTCGTTATGTTATTCCATGAATCTTCAGGTTCTGTATCGCATCTACACACATAATTACACCCATCCTGAAATAAAATTATATTTAAATAAATGAATTTATTTTAAAATTTTTTTATACGTGTATAACAAGGTAATAAATTTACAGAGCATAATCCTCCTATTCTTTGCCAAAATCTAAAATGTGGTAATTGTTGGCAACCCTGAGCATTGTGCGCGAGTTTTCTGTAAATCACACCCACAAGAAAATACATAAAAAAACCGACTGAAAGTAATATAAAAAATACAGAAGTCCCGGATACTTTTTCTTCGTGTGTGCATATGAAAGATGTAGGAAGTACAAATTGATTATAACAATCATTTTCTACAGCTAATTGTAATTTCTAAACAAAAAAAGAAAAAAAAAAGGAGACATTTTTTGAACGAATGATTTAAAAAAATAAAACTCATCGATCAAAACAAAATCGATAAAAAAAAAAATTTACATGATTATCGTGATGAATCGGATCACAAACAATGTAAATGGAAACATTACGATTTCCAAGGCACTGAGTACTTGGTAAACAATGAGAACATCCATACTGAACCATCACCCAAGTATCTAAGACACAAAATTATTTTTAATTAGAATCAATTTATGTAAAATTTTTAATTAATTTTAATGACGTGTAACAACCTCCGCCCATGATTTGCGTTTCGTTTCTTCTACCCAGCGGAATGGGTTCTTCTGATGCTTTAGTTTTACTAACGCTGACATTGGCTAGTTTTGATGTATCCGCACAAATGCCAACAGAATAACTAAAACCATCTTTTTGAAATGTAAAACTATTAAAAAAAAAAAAAATTACATTAACTATAATTGAAAGCAATACCTAAAAAGCAAATGAGATTTAAATCAGCAAAACATACGTTTCACCTAAAATAGGTGTAAGCCTTTCGAGATATTTTTCATCATCTCCGTTTATCTTATTATTATTATTATTATTATTGTAAAAAAAACATTTTCCTGCGTCGCTACATAAAACCGTTGAAAAAAAATGAGTTAAAAATGACAGAATAAATAAATTAAAACATGACGTGTGCATAACAATATTAAAATTAATTATCATAATTTAAATAATTTGTTGTAAACGGTTTTTTTGAAATTTAAATTTAAATTTAAATCAAGTGTAAATAATATTCCGACTTCGCGTCTGCAAAAACAATGTTGCCAACTTAAAAATAAATACTCATTTAAACGTCAAATAAATTACCTTTTATCTTTTTTCATTTTTTTTTTCTATTATTTTTAAATCCATAATTCAATTTATTTACGTAAAATAACTTTTATAAAAAAATAAATAAGTAAAACGAAATAATAATTTTTGCTCGATGTGTGATGATGAGACTTTCGGAAGCCATTTTGTTTTTTAAAAGAATCATTTCATTTTAATGGTGTAAATAGAGTGATAATTTAGACGATAATTACGACGAATTTGTTTTAATTATTATTATTATTATTATTAAAATAAAACGCGTAAAATAAAAATAAAAGTTAATAATTTAAAATTGATTATGCCGGCGTGAAATTACTCGTTTGACATTTCATAGATGGCAACCCTGACATTTATTATTCGAAACCAGTACACATCTGGGTGAAATATGGCCTGATTTGTAAACAATGTTGTCATTTGAAAATTATTTCAGTTGAAATTTAAAAAATGTAAATTTTAACAACACGTTAAATGCGTTTGTTTTATAAAATATTATTAAATTTAACCCTTGTCGTATGTTTCGTTGTATTATTTTTTACTCTGCACGAAAAATCGGAAAACAATTTTAAAAACAATTTAGTGAATTATCATATAAAACAAATAAAATCAAACAATGAATCGGACAGCCATTTTGTTTATGTACGAAACTCTACCGCCGGATTGAATTTTAATTATTATAATATTTGGTGTATATTTTGTAGAGCAACGAACAAATCACCGTTAAAAAATAAATTTACAGTATTCTCTCATTCTCTAGTTAATCATTCATCCGTTCCATTAAATATAAATGTTATAACGGATGAAACGAGTCGACAAGTTGCCGATGAAGTTCTTAATCAAGTTAAAAATTCAACAAATAAAAATTTCAAGGTATGACAAACCACTCATCATCACACAACAATTATAATTATTATTTGAATCATTAAGTGAATGCAAAAAAAACTTAATTAATTACACATGATGATTTTTTTACAGGTGACATATCACAATGTTGAAAAACTTGCAGAAAAAATGTCGGATATAATAATGACAATGAGAAAATATTTCACATCTCAACCTGATTCTTATTATTCCGATGCACTTTTTTTCATATCATTAGGATTGCATAAAATAGCAGACGATCAAAATTATGGTATCATGATTGATGTCGATACCAAAATACAAATCGATGTTAAATTACTTTTCGATGAATTTAATAATTTCAGTAAGATAAACTTTTTTTTTTATTCTATGATTTTCATTCTCCCCTCCCCTCCCCCTCCCCACGTGATTCCTATCAACAATCAATCAAACACATTTATTAATATCATCATTCATTTTTTAAAAAAAAATTAGGTAGCAATGAATTAATCGGTATAGCACCGGAACAAAGTCCAGTTTACAGGCATGTCTTGTACATGTACAGAGCTAAATACAGAGATACAAATTTTGGTAAACCTTTGTCACAAAAAGGAAATCCAGGTGTTAATTCAGGTGTTTTATTGTTGCATTTTGAAAGATTAAGAAAATCTTTGCTTTACAATAAATTATTATTACCAGAACAAGTTAAAAGGTTTGTCACTTATTATTATTATTATTACTACTACAATCGTAATTTTTATTACCTCATAATTATTATTATTTTTTTATAGATTAGTAGATAAATACATGTTTCAAGGACATCTTGGTGATCAAGATTGGTACACATTGGTATCTCAGGAACATAAAAAATTAATACATTTATTGGATTGCACATGGAATCGACAATTGTGTCAGTGGTGGAGTCATCATGGATACGAAGATATATTCAATATGTTTTATCATTGCGATGGAGACGTTAAAATTTATCATGGGAATTGCAACACTAAAATACCATAATCATCATCATCATTTTTTTTTTTAATTATTATTATTAACTGATCTCTCTCTCTCTCTCTCTCTCTCTAACTGTCTCTCTCCTTAGATTATGTATCAATTATTTTTTTTATTTTCGATTCAAATGATTTTTTAATCACGGTTTTACACATTTATTTATTTATATATTTTTAATGGATTGTAATCGATTTTTTTTTTTTAACCGCAATTTAAAATAAATAAATAATTATTATTATTATTATTAGTTTTTACCCTTTTTTGTCTGTTCCTTAATTGAAAAATTGTTTAAACATTCGAAAGAGAATAATAAAATAATGAGTTTTATTCGATTATTAAGTAATCGAGTGATTTTTTTCTAAATTTCATTCGAGTTTTCTATTTATTGTTGATGATGTTGGAGGGTTTTTTTTTTATTTTCTGACAATAGAATCAGTAAATTTTTTCATTTCAAATGTTTTATGCTACTTTTATTACAAAGACAATGAACACAAAGGGAATTTTTTTAAGTTGCAAAAAGTATTTTCTCTTGGTTACCTTCAGATTTTCTTTCGATTCCACTTAACAAAACTTAAATAAGGTTTGATGGGGTAATTATTGAAATCATTTCATTCACTTACAGGTTTAGTAAAAAAGGAACCTAAACTCGATAACAATCAAGCATACCTAATTTTAATTGTTCCTCATGGTTTCATCTATTCATTGTATTCTTTTTGGGATCCAATTATGTGTAATAAATTTAGAAAAATATCACATAAAAAAAATAAATTGTTTGGTATTTGTTCAAATATGGACTAACAACGATGTGCTCTCATTATTTACGTTTAATTTTCTACATTAAAAATAAAAAATAATTTTAAATAATCTTCTTACCTTCATTTTGATGATGATTCCTAGTTAAAAATAATTCCAAACGAACAAAAATTTATTAAATTAAAATTTTACACTTTTATTTTTCACTTATTAATTATTTATTTATTTATTCGTATTAATTCGATAATAAAAAAATTTTTAAATTAACATTAAAAACAAATTTAAATTAAAAAACCTTTAAAAAAAAAAAAAAAAAATTTTCCAAATCCGTCGGTTTGTACTTGATTAAAACTTTACCGCGTATAAAAATGCAGACGACCAATTAAAATTATTTTAGTTATCGACACGTTTTATTTAAATTTCCCGCCAGAAAATTTTAACGCGTATATAATAAACAAACTTCTACTTTCTCCGATTCGATCGAAATAAGTTTATTTACTCTATGAATATTTTTCCTTAGTTTATATCAAGCAGAAACGTTTTCTTCTTTTCTTTTTTTATTAATTATAAAATTCAAAAGGACGTCCGTTCGGCCCTTTTCATTTAAGGTTCGATTAAATTTTCAAATAATAATAATAATAATAATAAATTAAATGAAAAAAAAAAAAAAAAACAAAAAGGCATATTTTATTTTATTTATTTTGAACACTTTTAAAGTTTATTTATTTATGACTTTTTAAACTTTTTTTTTTTTTTTTTTTTCAATTTGTGGAAGCGAAAAAAAAAAAAATTATTATTAACAATAGTAGCAATAATAATAATAATAATAATAATAATATTAATAATAACGATAATCGTAATCCGTTCAGTCGTTTTTCACCATTGTTATCATTATCATTATCATCATTATAATCATTATAAATTTATTAATAAATGCAATTTCTAGGGGCGGGAGTCGGGGGAGACGTGGCAGAAGTCGGAGATCGAGTTCCCGCCGTCGGACCCGGTGACGCTCCCACGTTATTGTGACCCCTTTCTTTTAACGGAAGGTTTTCGTACATTTGTCGTGGCAAATCTTCCGGAGGCCTTGGAAGATCGATTTGAGTTTTACTTCCCCCGCAACTGCTCCCACCGCTCCCTCCCCCGTCGTTGACTTTGCACTCTGTGTATTTTATATTCGTGTATTCTCGACCCAATTGAAGGCTTTTCTGTAATCGAACAAACAACTTTTCATTTCATTTCCGTCGGAAATCAAAATGAGAACAAAAAAGGCGAAGGAGACCGGAAATGGGGAGTGTGTAGGGAGAGAATGGGGTGCCTCCCCATTCGGAACAAGGTCGATGGTCATGATCGGTTAATAGTTGACGTATTTCGTTTTTCATTGTTCGGCCAACTATCGTTCCTTACCTGTTCGGCTTGTATTCTTTGCGTTAACGTATTTATATAGTGCTGTACGGCTAGGTAAACAAATTTGTACTGTGCTTCAGTTTGAACCATTCCAGAACGTTGCGAACGAACCATTTGAATTGTTCTTTGAATATCTATTTCACAGTCGGGACCTGGAAAACAACAACAACAACAACTTTTAAAACTTATTCGAAAAAAAAAAAAAAAAATGGCACTCGCGAACGTTTCGTGCATAGGACTCACCCTGCCTTTTGATCATGTCTAATATCATGTCGATAACTATAAACGTTCCCGTTCTCCCGATTCCCGCCGAACAATGAACGAGTACGGGGCCCGCATCTGGAATGGATTCTTGACGAGCGTTCACGTCGTGTAAAAAATTGAGAACACAGCCGGGGTCAGAGGGCACGCCGTGGTCGGGCCAGGCCTGTACAAAAAAAAAACAACATCAATAACGCATCGTGAATTATGCGTCGAAGGGGGAGGAGCAAGGGGAGGAGAAAGGGAGGAGAGGAGGGAAGGGGGAGGGGCTTGTCACACTTACTTGAAAGTGGTAATGGTAAATGGTTTTCTGTTCTGTGCCTTCTTCGGATGAGACTAGAAACTGACGTAATGTGTAATCGCTTGTTGATGTTTCGCTCACGCTGCAAACTTTTATCGGCCCGTATTCTTTGCTTTGGTTTTTGTCCGGCCAATACCTGGCGCATTTATTCTGAAACGGAAAACATCATCGTCACAATCGATTCGATTCGATTCGATCGATCGATTTAATTTCGATATTTTATAGACTTACTTTTCCCCGTTCTATTTCTTTGGTAGTCATAACGATAACTCTGACGTTTTCCTGCCAGACCATCATCCACAAATCGGCAACCGTGCTCGGCAAACAACCTTGCGTTGCGATATATGATTTCAGTCCGACTTCGGAACCCGCCAAACCCGAACCTTCCTGCGGTTCCTGCCTTATGTAATTCGCGTTTATGTATTCGGAACCCGGAATGTTGGGATCCGCATTTTTTAATTTCACCCTCGTGTGATCGACTGGAATTTTTTTAAAAACAAATTACATAACAACGTTTTCATAAATCCCCCTCCCCTTTCCCACCTTCCATAAACCGGAAACAGGAAATGAAAATTCACTTACATGGCAAAATATTTTTATATCTATTTTTGTTTCTGTTTTCGGGTCTTTGCCCTTGCTTTCTTGTGAATAAATGTCTACATTCTTGCTGCTGCAAACTTTCAAATTCTTCCCAAAATCCAGCTTTTCCAGTTGCCGCACCATTTTCCTTCTGAAACAAACAAACAAACGAACAAACGATAAACAAACGTTTTTCTCATCGTTTGAATAGATGGATGAACTTGAACAACAATGGGGCAAAAAAAAAAATTTTTTTTTTTTTTGCCCCATTGTTCCCTTTATTAGTGTTCATTACATAAATATTTATTTTTATGTAATACTCTCGCGTTATATATAAAACATTCGATACATAATAATAATAATAATGTTTAATAAATCGAAAGAACGAGTCCTTCGATTCGATTCGATTCGATTCGATATAATAATAACGATTCATCAAACGATCTCGAAACTTAATCGATTGTTTTAGTCACGCGCACTTGCATTTGAAGAATGCTTAGCCAAAAACAAACAAACAAACACAAAACTTTTTTCGCATGCCTACTTAATGTCACCGTGAAATAATAATAATGATGATTGTGATAATAATAATAATAATAATAGCGATAATGATATAATAAAAATTTATTAAAGATTACGTAAAGAAAAGAAAAGAAAAAGAAAAAAAAATTTCTCGACAACAACGGATAGAAATGAATCATCGGGTCGACGGGTAAGGCAACAACAAAAAAAATTACGTAATTAAATTATCAACAAATTTTTTTTTTTTTTTTTTTGTCTTAATTTGAAAATGAATGAGAAGAAAAAAAGCGGGAAGAGAAAGGAACAATCGATAAATCGATATATCGATCGATAGATCGATAGTTCGAACTACACGCTGGTAACGTTCCGAAGAGAGAAATGAGGTGGATTTTCCATTTCACTTTTACACTTACAATCGTCGCTTTTTCTCTCTCTCTCTCTCTCTCTCACGAAACACGTGGCATCAGATTGAAATTAACAAACCTGTAATTCTTTGACTCTCGTGTCTATGCCGGAAGCGTTGATTCTTGTCGCGTTAAAAGGTTGTTTCAAATGAACAACCGTTCCACTTGTTTCGACCATTGGATTTTTCTTGTAATATTCTATTAGTTCGCTCAGGGATTCGAACCTTTCGCCGCCTCCGACGTCGTATTTATTCTCCTGGAAAATAAAAAAAAAAACCAAATTTAAAAAACAAACAAACAAATAAAAATGGCGGATTTTTGTGTGCGTGTGTGTGTGTGTCAACCTTGCGATGACGTAATTCTATTAACTTTCCAGGTTGGCTTTTTTTTTTTTTGTATGTTTATACGATTTTTTTTAGAGGATGTTAATGAAATCGTACCTTCGCGTGTGATATTTTTTTTTTTTTTTTTTTTAAATATTAGTCATTGCAAAGGGACAATCGAAAAAATTAAAATGCTCGTCATGAGGATTAAGGACACGCTTTTCGCCGAAGGTCTCGCAACAACGACAACAACAAACAATATGTGTGTTGCGTGCGTGCGTGTTTGTGAGAACGCGTTTTGTTTTCTTTCAATAATAGTAATAATAATAGTAACAATAACGACAAATCCGTGTAAAATTAAATGCTATTCTCTCTCTCTCTTTCTCTCTACACTCGCACACACCCACCTACCTGACATCTAATTTTAACGTGTGTGACTCTGTCTTCCGTTCTGACGGATAAAACAAAATGACCTGGTTCGCTCTGGGATTCTCGTACCAGAAAACTTCCATTTTTACCCTTTTCCAATATCATTTTTTCCGCTTCTTTTCCAGAAATGTGACCGTGAAACCACCTGGAAAGAAAAGAAAAATGATAATGATAATAATTAGTCAAACAAACGACGATAAACGTGAGGTCGATGGTAAAGTAACAACGCAACGGCGGTCACCGGGGTTTGACTCGTGGGAATCGAAAAAAAAAAATTTTTCTCTTTTTCTTTCCCGTTCTAGAAAAAAAAAATAAACAATTTTACCACAAACAAACAACAACAACAACCGGAAACAAATCACCCCGACGCCCTTGACAAAACCCGAACTTAATTTAAAAAAACGAAAAAAAAAAAAAATAGGGAAAATTTAAAATGAAAATGCGACGCAATTTTTTTATTATTATGATTATTATTATCATCATCATTTAAAAGGAATCGAACGCTTCTGCCAACTTATGCAAATTAAATTAGTTTTTAAAATTTTTTTTTTATAGTGTAAGATGAATAATTTAGTGGAATGAAAACGATTTTGAAAAGCCGGAAAAAAAAAATCAAAATAAACACATCATCGTCGTCGTCGTCGTCCTTCTCTCTCGATGAGGACAAAAAAAAAAAAAAAATCCTACCTAAAACGACATAAAAGATGACATTGAAAAGTTATGTGAAGGAGTCGTCGTCGTCGTCGTCGTCGACGACGTCGTCATTCAATAAATCGAAAAATAAAAATAAAAACAAAAATTTGAATTCCTCGGACGCCATTTTAATTTATTATATAAATTCGTCCATCTAAGGATCCATTTAAGGAATCAAGGTTTCGGAGACATAAAAAAAAAGACACGAGTTTGGTTGTTGTGGTTGTTGTTGTTGTTGTTGTCGTTGTTCCTTATCCGTTTTCGACACCCGAATATATAAATAACAAATCGCAACAACATGTGCGAAGATTTCCAATCAATCATCAAAAAAAAAAATACAAAGGAAATGTGCGAGGTTTTCCGCATTTTCCATGAATAATAAAAAAAATATTCCACGTGTGATCATCATCATCATCATCATCATCATCGAGAGTAAAACCGGCAAAAAAAAGAAAAAAAAAAAAAAAAAACAAAAACTTGAGTAAACTACTTCCGGTTTATTACGAACCTTCATTTCCCTTTCCCAGAGAGAGAGAGACGAGAAAAAATGATAAATAACATTATTCGCATATGTTTAGCTTACGCACAACATCGCCAATTTACGCGTCGAATTTTTCGTTTTTTTAATTTTGTGTAAATTATCCACCCGAAACGAGTTTCGAATGACGAACTAAACAATTTATTACCATATAAGGTAATTATTATTGTCGTCCACGAGAGTAATAATTCTTCTTCCGCCAAAAATGAAAAAATTTTTTCCCACTCCTACCTTGGTAATCTGATAATTTATTTACCTTTTTTTTTTTACCGCGTTTAAAATGAATAATAATGATAATAATAATAACGATTCGTCTTCATTACCGGGTACTAATGAAAAATGTACAAGATCTAATAACTAAAGTGTCGCTCCCACAAGTTTGCAATTACAAATGGTGACGCGGCGGATTCGTGACACACGCACACGCACACGCACACGCACGCACGCCGAGAAAAATCATCATCATCATCATCATTATTATTTTCTCTTCCAAAAATTCATTAGTTCGATAACGAACTAATCAATTTCCAACATTTTTTTTTTTTCCATATTGAAAATTTGGAAAAGTAGGTACGAGTTCAATGAACCCTTTTTGAACAAATAATAATTACTCCGACGATGATAGTAATAATAATAATAATGATAATGATAATGATGATGAAATGAAATGTTGGTCGATAACGCACACGCACGCACACAGACGCGCAGGGAAAAAAATCGATTATGTAAAATATCACAGGCTGTGTGCCTGGAACCTGTCCCGGCGTAGAGGTAAGAGAGAGGGGGGAGGGGAAGAAGGATAAAAGACGAGAGTGAAGCAAGCAAGAGAAAAACAAACAGGTGATGATGATGTTCGAGTATGTTAATAAGCTACGCGAAATTTTTACGATAATAATAATTTTCGCGCGTGTGAGAGAGTGAGATAGAAGACGTTGAGAGACGTCCGTGACAATTATTAGCATTCGAATTCAAATTGACAAAATACACACAAACACACGATTTCATCCCGTGAAGAGAGAGAGAGAGAGAGAGAGAGAGAGAGAGAGAGAGAAACTTGTTCAAAGTTAAATTTTACGATTGAATTTCAAATTTTTTTTTCAAGGGCTTTCAAGTTAAATAAATAATAATAATAATAATTTTTAACCTGAGGCCGCCATATTGGCTCACGAGACATTAAATTTTTTTTTTTTTTTTTTCCAATTCTCGATTAAATAAATATCAAACATGCATGTATTAAATGCATTTCGTAATCGAAGAGAGAGAGAGAGAGAGGAGAAAAACAACCAAAACAACAACAACAAACACGAACCTGATTTTTTTTTTTTTTTTTTAAAGTTAAAAAATTGTTTAAAAAAAGGACTTAATTAAAACTTACTTGTGTAAATCCGTTTCCGGTGCGTATGCCGCCGATTTAATCTCCGTAGTTGGTAGAATTGTTCTCGCGGCGGATATCGGAAGTTCCAAGCACCGCCTTTTTATACGAATTATCACCGACATTGTAACCGAAAAGTTATTTATCACACCTTATTTATTTATTATTATTATTATTTTTTAATAACGTTTTTCGTCACAGATTATTATTATTAATATTAGTAATAATAATAATAATAGACATTTCTTTAAATACCTGCATTTGAAAAAATTACATTTTGTAGACAAATTGTTAAAAAATAATTCGAACCTAAACTATCACAAACATCTTTTTTTTGGTACCTTAATTCCCCCCCCCCATCATCATCATCATCATCATCATCATTTCAAAAAAGAAAAAGGCGGAAGAGTCGAGAGTCAAGTCGATATAAGAGCGAATAAATAAATTAATAATAATAATAATAATAATAATAATAATAATAAAATTTTTTAAAAATTGATTTCCGTTTATGTATACTTTCGCGTGTAAGAGAGTTTTTTTAGGCGCGCGTTGGCGAAATTTAAATTAACGAGAGTTTGAATTAAGGTTTCCGGACAAACATGACGACGATAATGATGATGATGATGATGTATTGCCATTATTATTATTATTATTAAAATTCTTTCTCTCGCTTCGACTTTTCTCCCAACTCGAAATCCGTTTCGCGAACCTTTTTTTTATCCTCCGCGAAAAATTTCTTTTCGTGCCCTGTGGCGCCGCGACGTGGTGGGAGTAAAAAAAGTAACATTCGTCACTTTTATTATTTTTACAAATCTACCTTTCCCTAAAGACACGATCGACGATTTGTCAGTCGGTCTCCTCCTACTCGTTTTTACGCAAAGATTTTTTTTCGATAATAACAACAACAACAACAACAACAACAAAAAAGAAATTCTTGGAAACCTTGCAAACCTTGTAGGTTTAATTAAATACTCTCCTACTCCTACTCCTCCTCCTCCTTTCACCTTTTCCTCGGAAACCTTCGATTCGAAAGCACGCACACACCCAAACCTCATCATATACCACTCGGTTTTTCCCTCCAAAAGAGAGAGAGAGAGAGAGAGGGAGAGGGAAAGAGAGAAAGAGAGACACAAAGAGAGGGAGAGGGAAAGAGAGAGAGAGAGAGAATCCGAACGAGGAGGGAAACCGAAACGACGACAAGTTATTCAATTTAAATTCCAATTTTGTGATTGTGACCTACTTGCGTATTTATTTGTTATTACTATCATCATTATCATTATCATTATCATTATCATTATTATTATTATTATTATTTTACCGTTGTAGTATCACATAATTATTATTATTATCATTTTCTAAAATCGTTTTTTTTATCCCCCTCATTTTTCTTTCTGACATCCAATCGAGTAGTAGTCACGTTCGATGAAAAAAAAAAAAAAAAAATTTTTCTTTTTTTCACGAATTTAATAATAATAATAATAATAATAATAATAATAATAATGATGATAATGATAATATTTTATTTGTGTCTTTTTTTTTTAAATTCAAATTATCATTATTATTTTAATTGAAATGAATGCCGCATTCGTTTTGGTATGCTAATTTTCCAACCGAAAAACAAAAGAATTTAAACAGATGTCCTCAACTTCTTCCTTTTCATTGTTCAAAAGACAAAAAAAAAAAAAAAAAAAAAATGTGTCGGTCTGTCTTCACGTTTCGAATTTCCGGGAGAGACAGATAGAAAAAGACAGAAAGAGAGAGAGAGAGAGAGAGAGAGAGAGAGAGAGGGAGATACGGAGTGAGATACCATTGGAGGTGAGAAGTGCGAGGGGTAAAGACGTGGGCACAAAGATGAATAAAACAAACAAAACAAACAAACAAACAAACAAACAAACAAAAAGAAAAACAGGTATGCGGGCACCGTGCGAACACATTATTACAAAAGCTTGGCCAAAGGAAAAACCTTGAATATGTTTTTCCAAATGGCGGTGGAAATTCGTTTCTGTGTCACAGCTTGCGTGCGTGCGTTAGTGCGCTCGTGCGTACGTCCGTCCGTTCAACAATCGTTTCGATAAATCGATTTTTTCCCGAATAACCCCATCCCCCCTCTCTTCCCTCCCACCCTCGTTTGAACGATTTATCGATCTATCGATCGATCGAACGAACCTGAATTAACCAAAAAAAAGTAGATTCAGGTTTACGACGATATTTTTTTTTACACAAAAAAAAGTGAAATAATAATAATAATAATAATAATAATAATAATAATAATAATAACAAAAAGCCAACGGCCATAGCGTGCTGGTCACACCGGTTCCCGTACGATCACCGAAGTTAAGCAGCATCGGGCGTGGTGCAAACTTGGATGGGTGACCGTTTGAGAACGCCACGTGCTGTTGGCTTAAAAGAGGAAAAAAAAAAAAAAATGAGAACAAGACAAAGTAAGAAACAAAAAACAAATCTTGTTCTACTGTCGACCTGAGGTAGCTCGACGAGAATGTGAATTTCACTGCTTCTGACCCTGGCCACTCCAAAGATGTTA